CGAGACAGTAAAATATTACTATTAATTCGAACGTATTATTTTAGGGAAAGTGTTTCATTAGGTTATTGTGTACTTAACCTAATGAGACGTTCCCTAAATACGTTCCCGTGATTATAAATGTGGTAAATGATATGATTTTGAAATGATTTTTTTTCTAATGAAAAGTTAAGTGTTAATTATTACATTTTCTAATGTAAAGTTAAGTGTTTCGTTTAAGGAAGATTAATATTTATGAATATTCTCTATTTCAATACAATAATTGAAAATGCAAAATTAATATTTTTTTTCATTCTTCATTATCTGATGTATATTAAATGAGAGATATTTCTGTACCACTAGTAAAGTTTCTGTAGCTTTTGCTAGAATAATATCAATATCAGCTTTTAAATACTTTATAACAAATAATAAGGAAAAGACGATGGACGTTCTACGCTTATATACATAATAGTAGTTATAGCTACTAATATGTCTGATTAACATTGCATACATTTGAGATGTGCATAGATTCCATTACATAGATTCCTTGCACATAATGCGCACGTTAGCTAAAATCCTGTTTTATGTATAAAATTATTGTTATTCCTTACTAACGTAAATCTTGAAAGTCCTTTAGCATATTCTCCTTCTACGTCTTAGAGCCCACCAGCGGCCGAGCGGTAAAGTCGCTGAACACTGGTAGTTCGGTCCGAGGTTCGAATCCCGCGAACGGGCTGGCTGCATGGGTGTTTTCGTGGTTTTCCCCATGTGTAACGTGTATACGAGCCAGTTTCCCTTAGAAAGTCCTCCACGAAAGGCATCCCTCCCCTTAGGCAGATAGCCCTAGTGTGCTTTGCCATAATTAAATACACCACACCACACCACCTTCTACGTCTTAAGCTGACAGAAGTAGTTTGATATTTCCAATTGGCTTGCGATATGGGAAAATAAAATGATATAAGAGCATAAATTATCAACGAAGGATACTTATTCTCTTGAGCTCATCTTTTAATGTATATTACTTATTGAATTATTTATTGAATTTTGGATTTCAAAACTGATGTTTCGAATAAAAGACCCAAACCGAATACTGTCGAGAGTAAACATGCCTTTTATTAAAAAAAAAAAGCATAATAAAACTCGCTATAATGAGAACGCTCAGATAACATCAACAGATGTCTATAAATATCTTTGATTAATCTTCCAAAATAGGAAAGAAATCTTTTCTAATAATCCAAAAAAACCCCACCAAAAATCTTTAGCTCCGAGAACAAAAATACCCAGAAGAAAGTGAGGCATAGTCTGAAACACATAGTTTTAATAAACTCTCAAAGTACGAAACTAGTGGCCAAGATTCAAGTAAATCTGATTTACTCTCTCCTAGGTATAACGGCTCCAAGGATGAGAAAATTCAGGAGGATTTCTAGATTTTGATCCCAAGATGCCGTCTATTGTAACAGAGCAAGACTGTGAATTTTTTATCAAAAGGGCGCAGAGTGTGTGACCCAAATGCTACTAAAAGCGCAAACTAATCATTTGAAATATGCAAACTAAATGATTCATTTACTAGCACAAATATTCATTTTTTTTAAAGAAAATAAAAATATATGGGGAGAATAAAATTTATTTTTAAATATTTTGGATTATTGTTGTGGCATGAAAAAAAGGATTGTTTAATATAAATGCTATCAGATGAACCTATTTTTCTGTAAATGTCTTCTGCTTATACATGCATTACAACTGAAATCTGTTTCAATGCTTATATCTGAGAGCAGAACACAATGAATAAACATTTTGTTTTCTTAAATGCATCCTATATGTGCATTAAAAGTTTCTTTCTAGTGTAATTTGTAATTGTAAATAATTATTGTGTAATTCCTAAATATGGTCCAGAAGTCCCAGATTACTAAGAATAATATCAATGTTTAAATGAGGCAGGAAACAATTCTTCCGAAACGTATAGAATCGACAGAAGAAAAATCTTTTGATCTTAACTATTGTTCTGTACTTTTCGACTTATGCTGGCAGTAAAAGATAAATTAACTTAACCTCGTGATCTGGGAATAATATCAGTTGGTTGACATGAAAGCGTGAAATGTCTTTGAATTGTTTTATCTGTACCGAGGGTGACACTATGACTATTTCATTCCGCATACACACTAAGCCAGTAATAAATCAACTGTCCTTATTACTCCTTTGAGGCTTCGAATGACGCAAAATATATATAAATGTAGAGAAAGAAAGATATTTTTAATCAGATACGTTTTCTTGGGGTTTTATTCTTTCGTACACTGAATAGAGTTTGGCTGACACATTTGCTGTCACGCAAAGCTGAGATAAAGGACACCTAATTGTCTTAACGAAACTTTTCGAACACAGTTAAGCATCCATTTTGATCCAATCTATGGATATCTATTACTATCTATAGAATAGCGATAAATAGTAAAATACATATTGAGATCAAAAATACTCGGATAAAATTGAAATCGATTCTTTCCTTCTTTTTTATCTTTAAGCAAAAGTTGTCTCTTTATTTCTTATACAAAGAAAACATTTAAACATATGTAATATATGTTTTAGATTCGTTTCCCATCTTAAAAAATAAAGCTTATGTTAAGCATCTGCAAGCAAAATAAATAATGTTATGAAATACTTATCTATTCAAAAATTTTTAATTTTATGGAAAGTTTATAAATACTTTGTGCTCCGTGTGATAAAACCGAATCAGAAATATTAATGCAGGCCAACTGCTTTCAAATGTCTCAAAGATTTAAATCATATACAGAAGAGTCTAGTCGATTTGAACGGTATTTAGTGAATGCGTACATAACTTAATATTATTATTTCACTCATTACAAAAAATAGTGTATATGAAAAAGTAATAGCAGATTGTTCAACTCAACTAAATATGAAGAAGAATGTAATATTTTTGTCGACCAGATGACGTAGCATATATCAACAGTGCATGGCTATTTAAAATATTTTATTGCATAAATATGACGCTAGCTCATATAAAAGTGTTCAAAATGCGCTTGAAAAAGTAATTTCGATATTGTGCTTAAAGAATCGCTTAGTTTCTGTGAGATAACTGATGTTAATCCCAGCAAGGGATTCCTAAAAATTAACGTAATTGTTAGTGATCAGTTTTGAATGGATGTAAAGGCACTGTATAGAAAAGAAATTACGAAAGCAGGACTGAATGCGTGCTGATAATGATATCCTGTTTTGATATAATTTTTTGTTAAAGACTTTACTTAGGCTGATTGAAAAATTTTAAGACTAAATCGTTTATTCAGAATTAGGATTTTGCAGGTTTTTCGCTTTTTCCTTTGTAAAATTTCTCACCGCATTATACCTTTATACCATTTTGTTAAAGATTTAAAAACCTGAGCTATATTTTATGACATAGCAATAAGAATTTCATTTGTCATGTGCTTCACTTCCTCTTCGGCCCAAAAATGTTTATAGTGCAGCTGTCTTTCCAGAGATGAGAACACTACAAATTCACCAAGCGCTGTATCCTGGCTGTTATTTGTATAGACAGTATAGTACTGCTGTCTCCTCTATTCCAGGCAATATTACCATTTCCAAAGCTTACTCACCGTTTATTGTCTACTCATGTATAGTCAATGTTGATATACGTTGCTATAATGGATTTCCCTTCTGTCAGAACTTGCTTTGATTATCACTGGCTATTTAACATGATGTGATATAGGAAACAAGAAATGCAGGTAGACGAGAAATGCAGATAGATGTAAAACTTTTCATTTTGCCCTTACATTTAAAACGTTTTTATTAATATGCTTTTCGGAGTGTTTTTCTTGCACGTGCACCATTTGACAATCCTGCACTGAGATTTTTGTCAACTTTCTGCTCAATCTTTTATACCTTTCCTTTAAAGATGTTAATTAAAAAAAGGATGTTTGCATGTGAACCTGCGAAAGCACACTATGTTAGAACTATAATTTCGCAGCATTTGCCTCATGGTTTTTAACTGGGTGGTGGGTTTTATTATTCCATTTATACATTAGGCAGTACCGAAAGTAACCAAAGTACTGTTAAGTACCAAAGTACCAAAGGACTATTTTTAAGCAACTATTATACATTTTAGACTTACATATTTCAGATCTCTTCAAAGTATTCTGCACCGGTATGTTATGTAAGTAGTCCAAATGTTTTCGTAAGTCAAAGGCGGCTAAAAATTTAAAAGTCCCTCTCTTTCATTGGAGGAGAAACCAAATCAAGACTGAATGGTCAAGGCTGCAAAGTAAAAAAGAGTACTATGACTGAAATTTATTTTCTTTTTAAAATTTCGTTTCTTAGCATGTAATGTACGCTTTGTACATTCTGAATTTATAAGTTTTACATCATTATCAAATGCTTCAAAGCTATTACACGTTTGAACATTAATTTAGAATCTTTTTATTTATGGAAATTTGTTTTAAAGCTGCACATTTTTGTCAAGATTTGTTCTCAGCGGTAAGTGCAGATAAGATTGTACATTATGATATAGTCACTCTGTGCGTAATTAAACAATATAAATTAATTGTACTCTATGGCTTTATTTAATTTTAAAATAAGTAAATTATAAATAATTATTACTCAATTACTGTTTGAGGAAGCAAATCAAATTTATTAAAAAATCCATACTAATTCTCAAGAATTCTAGTGCAAATTTATAGTGAAGTTATCATTACCAGTGGCTGGAATTTTTAATGAAAAATTCAATATTTCGTGTCTTTAGAGAAAAATTAAAATTTCTGAATCCTAGAAAGATGCTTTTGATTTAATTCAAATGTATATTACAACGATTAAATGTATTTTTTTATAAAAATTTTAATTATTTTTAGTTTTCGTGTCCTTTGTTCACTGAGGATAAACCTTACAATTAACATCTCATAACGATTGTTAAATCCCTTGTGGTTAATTATATTATGCATAGCTAGCTCAAAACATACTTATATAATAATATTTCCAGAATATTTAAAATATGTGTATTTATACTACTCTTAATTTTTTTGCAGAAAAAATAGAGACTGTACTTGCTGTCGAAGGTAGCAAAGTCGATCTCCAGTGTGATATAACACCGCCATCACCAGATGATGAAGTAGCGCTTGTTTTGTGGTATAAAGACGAGAGCACGACGCCGTTATACAGTTTAGATTCCAGACGAAGGGACTTACATCAAGCCAAACATGCACCTGGACAGGAGATTGCAGGACGGGCGTTTTTGGATGTATCCACTCATCCAACGGTGCTCAGGCTTGAGAATGTGAAAGCAGAAGATGAGGGCGAGTACAGATGTAGAGTGGACTTCAAAATAGCAAGATCCAGGAATGCACTTGTAATTCTAGAAATAATTAGTAAGTATAAACTTGTTAATATAGTTTATAAAATGTATTTACGTTATTTTTACTGTAAGATCAACTTGTGTGAAAATTATAATAGCCAAAATGTCCCAGATTGTAAAGAAAATCTCTGTGCATCTCTCTTTATATATATTAGATGTGCCAAATAATGTCTATAGCTGAAAGTACCTTTCTCCCCAAAAATATCTAATGAACGTAATGCGAGAATTATTCATTTAACGTTATGAGATGTTATCGTCAATGACAAACCTACCTGCACCAAGAGCAGACTTGTGGATCCGTTGGAAAACATCCTAAATATGTTACCAGAAATCGGAAAAAAGTTTGGTTGTTTAAGAGATACCGGAGATCATCACATAATATTTTAGTGAAAGAAAGGTTGCCGGAAGCAGCTAGATTTCCTATCCATTTTTTTTATTGATCTTCAATATCCACTATCTCCTAAACTTCCTGTTTTCCTTTCATAAGATAGATTTTGCTTATTTCATGTCATAGAAAGCACTTTTGATACCCGGAAATTTTATTTTGAGACATCACGTATACGTTTATATAGTATATAGTAGCTTTAGTTATTCGCGTTGGCAAACAAGTTGTTTTGCCATCTTGCGCTTTTGCCATTTTGCAACTCATTTAATATATCTGAATTTAAAACAAATCATTAGATGACAATTATGGAAATCATTGTGCTCATTTGTAGTAGAATTTAACTAGCATTTAAATATATTGCATCATTTACGTTAATAATAATACTACTTATATCAAAACGTTAAGGTCCAAGTTTATATGCTATTACCTTAATCGAAGTTATTATGCTAGACTATCACTAAAAGCGCATTTTACTGCACCTCAGAGAAATAATTTAAATACCCTAAAGTGAGATTTTTTTAAAAATTTGGATTCTCTAAAACAATAAGAGAGGTAGGATTCCATAATGCCATATGAGCAGGTGTTAAGGAGGTGTAACATAAGGTTATTGTAAACGAGGCGTTTACATAATGATGACAGCCTGATAGATGCGTAGGTTCTGCTCAGAAATGACATTTCTTTTACAGTTATTTATTTATATTGATTACATTTTATATTTTAAACCGTGTATAAATGCAGGAAAAGGCAATGTGAAAATGTATGGTAATACATGTGCAAAATAAAACAACAAAAAGTCCTTGCTAGTCTGATTATTTTGTACCAAGATACGCAACACAAATGCAAACGTTTAAAAAAATAAAAATCAAGTGGCAGTAATTAAATGAATTTTAAATTGCATCAGGTAGATATAGTATAAAAAATAAAACATAGCGGTAAACTCCCAATAAGTAGACAGAATGCTTTTGAATTGTTCAAATAAATAAATTATGCACAATTTTACGTTTAAAGATAAATTAAAGATCTTACAGTCTTTCGAACAGATTTTTTTGAAGATTCTGTAGAGTAAAAGATTTTTCAGACGGCCTAGTAAGTATGTTAAAGATGTTACGGAGGTTTTGCGTTATAGGTGTTCATTTGAGAATGAAGGAAAACTGCAGTCTGGTCCTCAGAAATAAGAAAAATCAGTTGCTATTTCAATTTTTGCACAGATCAGCAGAGATGAAAGCAAGCTTCGAGAAATATATAAAATCTCCATTGTTAATTTATATGAATGTAATATTTTACACATTTTATTACTCAGATAAAATATCACTCATGACATGCACGTTCGAAATATTTCAGTGTCACCATTTTCTATAAAAATAATTGATTGACTAATAAACAAAAATGTTTGAAACCGAGCTATATGTATACATTATATTATATTTATCGCCTACACTTCGTGGGCATCATAAAATAAATTTATAACAAATCGATTTCTAAAAAAAAAAAAAAAAAAAAAAGGAAATTAAATTCGCTATTTTTTCAGATTTCTTTACTTTCATTTAATTATTATTTTCTGCATACTTAGAAAAACAAATTTATGAATACACTTGTTACAAACAAACCTACATCTATAAAAAAGATACAAATGAAGCACATAATAAAAAATGCTTAATTTCGAAGGTTAAATTTTATCGTAAATGACAAAAATATTTCAGTAACAGCTCAAATTACATTTCCCAGAATCATTTTAAGTCAAAGCAAAATTAGATAGAAGAAGGTTGTTTAACATGTTAAGACAAATAAAAGCTAAACATGGGACATTGAATTCTCTCTATAAAACTAAGAATGTGAAAATCAGAGCCGATAATGATAACTGATGATTTACGTCCACCTAAATAGCATAAATTGCGCAGTTTTATTTTAATGAATGCTTTTGATGGATATCAATACAAATAATGTTCTAAATTTTGAAATGATATTTTAAAATTTCTATCAAAGAAACAAATGATGTAAAAAACTTGAAGATTCAGTTTTCGAATCTCAATTCAAAATTACTGGATTAGAGAATTAAAATGACCAATTCTTCCCTTAAACAAAGGTTGATTATATTATCCAAACTTAAAGAAGACGGTTAGGCACCTGTAGTTTTGAATAATTTATTTGAAGCTTTCCACATTCAAAAAAAAAATATTACATTAAATCCAGAAGGCGTTTAGAGACTTCTCAAAACTTGAACATTGTCCACATCAAGTCTCGTGAATGAAATTGTTTTGTGATAAAACTTAATGTATCATGAATGAACACGAGGAAATATTTCAGTTACCAGTTTTAGTTAATGATTTTAGTTCTATTCCTGAGACGAGTTTTCAAAAGATTTGTTTCTTATTTTTTTTATTTTTTCTAATTTTTACGTAAGAGTTATCCCAAAATTGCGTATTCTTTGTGTTTAACGGACGATGTAAAAAGATTTATTTATATTTTTATATTATTTATACATTTATATGCCACTTTCTTTAGTGATGTGTTTCTGAAATAGTAATGTAAGATAGAGTCTTCTTTGAAGAAAATGGAAATGTATCAGATTTGTTACAATGCGTGTATATAACGTCACTCTATAAGTAACATTTACTCTAAAACGTTATAAGATGCATAGTGTTTCAGTAAAACTACAGTGACACTTAAGAAGGCCATCTATCATTTCAAGTGATTATCGTTTTCGTGAAAGTGATCTTTAATTAGAAACATGGCTAAAAACTATTGTATACCATTGTTTTAACTGTGCTCTTTACTGTGTGCTTTTCAGAGAATATCATTTCAAGGATATTTTCCCCATAGATGGTTCATTGTATGAAGAATGTAACTGGAACTTTAATTATGTTTAATGCCATTTAGCTGCTTTTTAATAATCAAAGATTAGTATTAAATTCAACTTGATAGAAAGTGATTTACGTAAGGAATTAAATTAAGTCTTTTTTTTGGTCAAAATATGGCATTATCATACTGACAGAAATGTACAGTTATTCGTAAAATGCTCAATCACTTAAAAGTAAGATTAACATCAAACTATAATGATATCCACAGTATCTATCTAGCAGTATTGAAACAATAATACTTTTCCTTTGCATGAAATAAAACCTAGACCCAAGATAATGCTTGAGTTTTGAAATAAATGTTTCAAGAACCATCCGAAAGTAATTGTTTCTTAGATATAATGGAAATAGATAGCAGTATTGACATTTTAGTCATCTACACTCCATGAATTAATATAAATATGTCATGAACTGTTTATATGCACGCCCATTCACTGCACGCAGTATTGGCATGACATATCCATTCTGATTTCTTACTCCAGTCTAAACTATTTCTTTTTTCTTCCCTTGAAAACTACTTTTTTATTTTCCAGTTCCTCCAAAGAAGCCGGTGATAAAGGATTCTAGTGGGGAGATTCTTCAGCGAGTCGCTGGGCCTCACAACCTCGGATCGAAGCTATTACTCATCTGTGAAGTTGAAGGAGGTGAGTGGAAATATATTTCTGACTACATGCATATCTAATGCATGCGCATACATTGTAACCTTTGTATTAGAATACCGGGTAATGTAACTCAGTGTCAAACTCTCTGTTCTCGAAACGTAATTCGAAAATTCATGAGGAAGTATCTTTGACAGTAAGTTAATTATTTGACGTTACTGAGATTTTATTCAGCAGATGACTGTATCTATAATTTATATATTACAGCGTTAGCGAACAATTTTATAAATTTTTAAGCTTATAAATTCTATTTATAATGCAAACTTATGCGACAGTTTATGTTGCTTGAAAGTGTTTAAGTGGCTTGAGCACACTGAAAATTGTGAAATTTAAAATTAAAATGAACTAAGGAAACATCATTTTTCAAATAAACTTTTAGGAATAAAAAAAAATAATATTATTTTCCTGTTTAATATGTATTTTAAGCCTGAACATATATATTCATATATTTTACAATATAAATATGATAATAAAAAGTAAAATTTTGAAAAGTTATATGTTGGGATTTTCCTTTATACATTACTTGATTAAAGTTAATGCTTACAGAAATTGTTACTGCAATTACTTACCCATTTTCTAGATTTTATTCTTCGTTTCATTCAGTCAAATACAATGTTTAGCAAAACAAATAGCAAGGCACCATTCAATGTACAGAAAAAATGCTACAACTTAAGAAGACTCTTTTAGAAAGGTGCTTAAATGTTTCATTTCCTTATTTTAAGTACAATTCTACTTTAAAGAGGAAAACATTTTTTTATATAATTTTCTGTTTGGTCGCAAAGGCACAGTTGAATGAAACTCTGCTGATTCTTGAATGAATAAGAATGTTTTTTTAGAGATACCTGTCTGAATTTAAATGAAGGTAGAAGAAGAACCATGTTTAATAATATACTTTTCAAGAAAGAAATAGTTTTTCTTAAATATTCCATTAAATAGTGTCTTAATTGATTTCTCTGTGCGTCAAAAAGCATTTAGTTTCAAAGTAATTAAATTAATTAATTTTTTTTCTAGTTTAAAATATATATAAATATTCAAGTTGACTATTTCCCTGTTGTGTTTTTCCAGATGCATCTTGCTCATATTTCACTTTAATCTGTAACCTCGCATAGCTTATTTATTATGCGATATACGGACTGATTAAAATTAAAATTAGGTTGTTTATAATATTCTGTACCTGTAACTGGCAAGTGAATTGATACAAAACATATAGAAAAAAACTGTAAGTTGGAGCACCCAACATAAGTAATAACCAATGTTAAATCTGTTTATCAATAATAAGGTTGAAAAGATAAACAACCGAAAACGGTTGCTGGTCCAACGATCAGAATAACATGACTGACCTGTAATGCTCATTGAGAGGTGAAGCAGGCGGAATATTAATAAATAAATATATGTATCCTTTTAAAATGATGCAGAAAAAGATTATGTAAGGGAGAGAAGAATTTTGTAAATTCACGAATTTACTACTAATTTGATCAATAATAATATTTTTTCCTTAATTAATTCAGTTAACGATTTCGAGACATTTTTTATGTTTCTTTAGTTTCAAATTTATTATAAAAAGGTATAAGTGTAAAAAACCTATACAAAAACATGCATATAAACAATTTTTTTTTGCAATAATTAACACCTTTGAATAAAAATATCTGCAGATGTTATTAATATTATCTTGCCTTAAAGTTACCACCAGAGTATACTTACTAGTCGAGTTAAAATATGCGTTAATTGTAATGTATTAATGCAGAAAATTAATTTAATTAAATATGCTAACGTAACTTCGAGTTTGAGCCCTTTAACAGGTCAGGTTTCCAAATGGTTAGGATGCCGGGGTTTTAGCTATTTTGTCTACAATGTGGATTTGATGACCCACATACTTTTGCCTAACCAGTGTTAAGCCCTACTGTGACTTCGAGATCTGCGAGACGCCGTCTTTCATCAAGATAACACATGACCATACTTTGTCCGTATTGACCTGACCTTCCTCGATGCAGAAGATGTTCGACTGCTAGGCTGAGCAGCAAACTTTCTAGATCTCTCCCCCATAGAGAACATCTGGCCATGGGTTGCTGAGAGGTTGGAACACTACCACTCGCCAGCCACTATAATTGATCATCTCTGGCATAGGATTGAAGCCATGTGGAATGAAAGAATCTGTCGTCCAATCTCAGTTTGTCTCGATGCCCAGGCGGGTTGCAACCGTTGTAGCTGCCAGAGGTAGGCACTCTATGTACTGAATATCACCCATTGTGTATTCCGAACTGAATAAAAATTTAATCATGTATTCCTCACATTATCCTGTATATGAGCCATAAATAAATTTCTTCTATCTGTTTTCCTTCCTTTCCATGTAGCATTTAATACCCATTCTGTTTTGGAGTCAAAAGAAAATAATTTGTAGAGTCATTAGGATTATGTTTTTGAAGCAAGAGACATGAAAAATGAGCAGTGCTTTGGCCGAAACTCTAAACTCAGAACTCTCGAATACTCGGTAATAATAGGTAAAATTATCATATAGTTAATATTTTATCAATTACCATTATTATTAATTTTATCTGTATTATTTATTACAAAAAGTGTAGAGAAAAGTTAAGAAATGCGAATCAACTGGAGAAAATCTATCACATAAGTGTAACGAAACGCTATTTAAAGTCATTTCGCAAAACATACAGATAAGGAAACTGATGAGGTGTAGATATAGGTTACAAATATTTTCTTTTGCTTCTTGTTTATGTCTCTAATTAAAGCTTCAAATTAAAACTTTCTAACTAAACCTATTTCTGTTTCACGTTTTTCATTCTCCATTCTTATTTACCTTTTGATTTTTGGATCACCGCAAACATTTCGCTAATTGTAGTTCTTCAAATGACGCTAACGGAAATAATTAAAACACATGATGTGACACTGATAAAAACTGAAGCAGAAAATATTGAAGAAATTGAATTTTTAATGTTACACATCGAAAACACGTTACAAGTCGCTCAAAATAAGATAACATTTTTCAAATTCTGAGGATTTCGGATTCTGCAGATTTACAATATTTTAAAAATAAGTTGTTGATGCGAAAATTATTATTTGTTTTTAGTTATAATGTGCAAATATTGCACACTACCTGTTCATCATAATCCATTATGGAATCCGATATCATTCTATTCAAGAATCCAATTTAATGGATTTATCATTCCATTAAATAATCAAATAATGTAAAAAGTACAACAGTATTAAGAATGCTACAGTGTTCCTGATTTTCACTTTATGGAATTTTTTTGCCATATGAAGTACAATTAACCTCAGATTTCATGCCTTTGGTTTCAAGCTCTTATTTTCATCACAAAATTCAAATTCCTTTCGAGGAGTAATGAGCAGACAGAGTCAGTACCTGTGATTTTTGCTTCCACGTTACATATTAGAACCATTTTTAAACGAATTGTAATAGAAAATGAGAAATAGGTACTCTGCCTTTTGTCAAGGGTCAAATGATTGCTAGTGAAGTCCCAAACCTGCACCATCAAACTCAAAAAGAAAACTGCTTCCCATAAAATATTTTAAGTGTCCGTTTGATTGTTGGAGTAATACTCTAGGCATTTGGGCTTAACTAAATAATAAACGCTTAATGTGGAGGCATGCAATTGTATAGAACCAACATATAAACGGCCATTTTCATCAGTCACAAAGGCATTAAATTTCTTCATGATAATTGCAGACTTCATATTTTTACGACTTACTTTGATTTAGGAGTATGACCACATCTTGAGCAATTCGCTACAATTACTTTCAATGACCAACATTGTTTCGATCGTTACGGAGCAATTTTGTTCTCGTACTTTCAGTGACGCGAAAGATGTGTAAATGGTACTGCACTAATGTTTAGACTCTGAAATAGAAGAGTTTATCGGACTGGAATAAAAGTATTAGACAAATAACAAGACCTAATGCAAAATATGGCAATTTCGTAAAGTCCTTGGATATTGTTTTGCCTTCTTCTTTTCGCTGAAAAACGGGTAGAACGTATGTGAACATACACTAATTATTGTGTAAGAAATAATATAAAATTTTATTCTTACTTTTATTTTATTTGTCCAAATTTAGGTTCTCGGATTCTGAAGCGTTTGCTAAGTTTTTAACAGCCTATGCTTAGATTAACAAAAGCATAAGACATTACAATTACTCTTATTGGCAAAATTATGAAGAATTAATGAGCCGAATAAAATCAGAATCATGGTTCAACGTTATGAAAGTGGTTACTTAATGCAATTTGTATTAATAAATCTTTTAAAAGATGCCATTATTGCAGGGTTTATGATTGCATCTAAAATTTAAACTATACAAGAATCAGTAGCGCTAAATTCAAAGTCCTTTATAATTATACACTTTAGCAGCAATAAAATACATTTTTCAAAATATTCTTTAAATAATAAAATCATTAAAAATAATAAAACTTCTGCATAGAGATTTTAGCTAAAATGGGCGTACACTAATCGATCCCATCCATTTGCAAACGTCCTTCTGAGAATCGGATGGAAACGCATATCTGAATTCTGCGGGTAGCCCATTTAGGCCACTTCCTTCAAGTGATTGACAACGGGTTAAGCCTGAACCAATACTTTCATTATGTATAATGGCATTCTGATGACTTTTTTATTCCTACAGGAAAGCCTCCTCCGTCAGTCATGTGGTGGAAAGATTCCATTCTCCTAGAAGGCACCTATCAGGTCTATCCTCACATGGTGAGGAACGAATTGGTGGTGGATTCCTTGGATCGAAGCGATCTTCATAGCGCCTTTTCCTGCCAAGCGTCCAATAATAATATATCCGTTCCCGCCGTTACGTCTGTCACCGTCGAGCTGAACCGTAAGTCTTTTGTATCTTTCTTTTCCTGGATCATCCCGGAGTTTCGCTTCCTTTGGGTTAAGTCTAGGAAAGTGATCAATCTCGATTTAGGGGTGTTTACCGACGACATGATGAAGGAAAAGGAAGAAATCTTAGGAAAAATCTCACGTTATTTCTCCCTTTTCTTTCTCTTTTAGAGTGAATTCTTACGCGAAGGGTTTGGTTAAAAGGAAAAATGTTTCGCGCTTTCCGAGCTCCTCATAAAAACTTTCTTTTCCACTAGAGAAATTATCAAATCACATCCATTAAACATTATCATGTCTATTTCAAATCCTACCAGAAATTCATAATGAGCTCTGTAAGTAATCTTCTGTCTGAATTTAATTTTATTGTATTTGTACCAAGAAATAATTTTGCTTTGGGGAACAGCAAGCATAATTGCAAAATATTTAAAAAATAGTGAGGGAACGTTTAGACAGGATTTAACACTACAGCAGTGGAAATTGTTTATTTATATTAAAAATTATAATTTGCAATGATCGTTGGATAAATGGAGTAGTGTCCTGCCTCTAAAAATAATGAAAAATCATATATCATATATATGTACATGTGTATATATAAGTATATGCACGTTTTGCTATCGTTAACAATTTTTCATTGATGACATTCATATTCGGGATCTTTGACTTTAAAAAATACTTTAAGAATGTATATATGCAAAATGATTTTGACTTTCATATTTATCTGGAAATGTCACAAGGTGTGTCATTTCCAAATTTTTATTTAATTATTTTAAAGGAATCTATCTAGATTGCTTGATTTCATTCACACAGTTGCCAAATCAAATAACCCTACTGGAAAGTATAAGTTCATTGTAACATTTGATGATCAAGTGTGCAGGATCTTCTATGTCAAACTTGTACTAAATTGTTCGTTGTATAAACAGCAACTCTAAAACTAATTAAAAGTCAGAAGATGCGATAGTACTAGAATTTCTGGAATCCAGCCAAATTCTTTCAGTTCTGTATAAATAAAATATGTGACCTTTAGAAATCCACATTTGTGACTAGTTTGAAAATTATTTAACGAAATCAAAAACGCAGATTAATTCTTGTGTTAGGAAATGTGGAATTATTGTATTAACGATTTAATTAAAACATGAAGCCATAAGGTGAGATGTATACTATTAATGCTTAAAACTTTAAATTGTGTTAATCACTCAAGTATTGAGATTATTTTGCACAGTACGTAATTTCGTCTTCATTTCATTATTGACCCATTCTTCATGTTGAGATATTCAAAGAAGCATTGCATTGGTAACTTTGCTGTAGTAATTTTCTAGCTATGTTTTCTTGTCCCCTTTTGATATCGTGGAAAGGATTTTATTGTGTGCACATTTTTGCGAAATTTTCCAGCATTATTCGATTCATGAAGTGCAGTACCTGAATTTGGTCGCCAGCAAATAACATATTTTTTTATTCGGTATATTTTCAGACGAAGCAACATTCAATAGCCAATAGTTTAGATCAGGAAAGAAGAAAAGGAATAGGCAGGACGGTTGAGGACTTAATGTCTTATTAGGTTTATTCAAGTGAAAGTGAGTGGATTAGAATGGTAATCCACGTGCTCACTGAAGAGTTAAAAATAATTATTCTTGTGACTGTTAATGACTCAAAGAATTAAACTAACTTGAGGCAAAATTATGAAGGTTACTGCTTTTTTTTCCAGGAGCAGTAAGTTAGTCTACCTTTACTTATAATTTCAAAAGCAAGTAGTTCCTGCATTCTGCAGCGTTTATTATTTATAAATAATGCTTGTGACAGCCTTTACAAAAACACGGCAGTTTTTATGAAAATATCTATGACGTTACACCTATTAAATATTAAAAGATTTTCAGATAACTATAAAAACCGAAACCGTTTTACTCAAAAATAGCTGGAATTACTACTAGCGATAGAAATAAAACTGTGCTCAAACGTAACAGGTAACGCATTCATTTTTCAGTTCCGGAAAATTATAATCGCACAATGTATTTAAAGTTTTGCAAAATTTGGTTGATAATAATAAATACAAAAATGGTCTGAAGTATATGAGAATATTTCAAAACAAAAAAAAAAAAAAAATATTTCAAGTATTTTATCTCATTAAGAAAAGAAAAATCTCTCAAGTGTATCCCGATTTTCATTTTTCATCCATAATCTGTGATAAAGCAATATAATTTAAATAAAAGATATCATTCTCTCTCCTCCTCCTTTTTTGAAAATATATAATAAGTAATCTTAATCATTTTATCATAACTATGGCAAATCTATTTATTGTGGATCAGATTCAAAATTTTTTAACATCAAATTAACCTTGTATCCTTTTTAAGAAAAAAAGAAACAATTTTATGAGAGAAATTTTAATTTATTTAGTTCCTCATAGTATCTTTTCGTCATTCTTATTAATTATGTAAATAAAATGAATATATATATACATATATATATATATATATGTATGGGGGGTAAAATAAAAATATCTAACTATAAATTATAATTTAAATTGGCAATAGTCCTTTGATGCCTCCTTTTTTTAAACTGGGTACTTCTCTTTTCTATTCAAAAAATAGTATTTTCTATTCAAAAGATAGTGCTCCACTGTTAAACTCACTTTCCAAACTGCACCACTCATAAACGAAGCTGCATTGCGTAGAGCTATGAGCCAATTACAATTCAAAACTTAAAACAAAGCACAAACTTTTATACAGACCCTGCTGAAATGCGCATTATCTTTTTCTTCTCTCCTTCTTTGCTTGGCTATTAAGGATTAAAATGGTGGCAGCAGCTTTACGAAGCTGTTGTTATCTTACTCGGGTATTTCATGGAAGTATGTTGCCAAAGCCTCCCCCTTTCTACCAAATCACACGAGAGGAATTTCGGCTCGTCATAAATTTAGAGTGCTCCCACGCCGCAAAGACACTTTACATTTTCAAACATCCATGCCTTCTGCGGGATTCGAACCCGTGACCTTCAGTACAGTAGTATTATTCTCAAACCACAATATCGTCTGGGCAGCTCCCTTACGAAGTTTATCTTTAAATTTACCTTCCATTCTGTTTCCCTAATGCATAGTTATTGCCTAGATTTAACACCACAATAGATTTCAGGTTGTCTGTTAAATCATCTTATAGATCGATTAACAGTTATTTACATATTTAATCAAAGTACTTTAAAAGAAATCTCAACCTTAAAGTAAAGGAATAAATTGAAAACTTTGAACTTTAAGTTTTATGGAGCTATACAGCGATACAACACATAATTTGTGCACATTCATTAGAGTGGTTTTTATTTAGTGTATAAGTTTTGTGAAATCCGTAAAATATTTCTCTCCTTGAAGCAATGTTTCAGATTTGGTCCTGATTGCTTTAAAGCTCATATATAAAATATGCTTATATATATGTTTTCGTATAAGTTTTATTCACATACTTCCATATCAGCGCCTATATAATGACGGATGTTTGTTGCATTTAAAAAGAGATTTTTTTCGTACTTCTAATAACATTTTTGTAGGAGAAAATTATTTCTTTTTCATATATATTCGGCATAGAAAATGCTGTGCATCTGACCATAAAAGAGATAGAATTACCCTTAATTGACAAGCTGAAGTTGTTACTTTCACGCGAAACTGTTGCTGAATAAATTTCCTGGAAATCCAGCAACAGGTAGGCTATAAAATGATTGCTTAAATATAAATAACAAGTATACTATGTGTGCTTTAAAATTTCATGTTTCTTATCAACCGATTTTTCCGAAACTTGTATTGATTTGTGGTAATTTTAATGATTTCAGTGTGTTTCAATGTGCATGAAACCAAAAGTATATAAGAACACATTTATGTCTTATTTGTATCAAATATATCATTAGTTTCAACTTAATTTTGTATAAACTTCTGGCTTAAGCGAATCATTGTGATGACTGAAAAATAAGGGATAAGATGATATGCAATTTTGCTAGCTAGTAATGCTTAGAACAATTGTCACAAACGGCAAATGTGAATAATGAAAAAACATTTAGTTACTACTCAATAATTGTTAGTAATGCCAACGATTATATAAGAATATCTATTTTATTTAAGAACTTTATAATAAAAATGTTTTATCATTATTTTTAGCCCAAAGGAGCTGTTAGTCTCGAAACGCGATTTCTTATTGTTTCCATTTAATGCGTTGTTTCAGTTTTCATCCATGTCTGTTGCCATTTGTCAAAATATAAAATATTTATAATTTCAGTCTTAGTTTTATGTTTAACTAGCTGCTACGCGGCTAGCCTTCGTTGGCTTTTAAATGTACCGGATGCATATAAGCATCCTGTACCGCGCCACGCGCATGGAGAAAATTCCGTACTTGTGATTTGACATACTTTCAGATGACATCATTTTCTCTTGGTGTAATGACGTTTAGGCGGGGTTCTTCCGATTTTGTTTTCGACAAATAACGCCATGAGTGACAAAGAAGTGTGAAAATTAGCGTTTATTTTCATTGAAACCATAAACTTTGGCTACAGCTATCTGCTGAAGGCTTCCTGTTTCATGGAAATAATAAAATTATAAAATCTCTCAAAGATGCTATTAATATCAGAAGCAATCTTAAATGCTTTGGTTTTATAAATATATGAATGAATTTGGTGTAAAAAAAGAGGCACGACGATCTTAATCCAACTGTAAAGGTAAGTGTATTATTATTATTGCAATTTTGTTGCATTATGTTTTTTTAACATTGCAGAAAGTATTTCCTTTGTAAATTTTACGTTATTTCCATATTATTAATATTAATGTCCATGTCATTCTAATATATCTGTGGCCTTAAATGAAAGAAAAAAAGTGCATTCAGTACTGTAGCTGAATTTAATACACGCGTATAAGAAAAGAAAACTTCCTTCTGTGATAAATATTATTTTTATGCAAAGGTACAAAAATAGTTAAACATTAAAAATGAGCAATAATTATATAGTAATATTATACATTTTAAAATAGGTATCTCTAAT